AAAATGGTTCTAGTTATTGGATAATTTTGAATTTGAAGTAGAATGAGAGTATTCGTCTCTTACTTATTCTGTGGCTATGTCCCCTGGCAATGATTAACGAGCTGTTTGTTTTAGCTGGTGACCTAGTTACCGTCTTTGTTTACGTCTATATAGTACTGACATGCCTCTTGACTTGTGGCAAACGTTATTTGGAGAAAAAAATTTTTCGGTGATTTTCATAGCAATGCAGGCGCAACCTTTCGTTTTTAAAAACAGTCAAATCAAAGAGCACCACCAGGGTTGTGTTATCTATTACAAACGCAGGGAAATTTTAATAATCTTTCGTTTGATTTCATTTTTCTCGTAGTTATTCGATAGAATTTTCTATGAGTTAACTTTTAACATATGCACACTTCATTGAGGTAGATGGAGACGGAACACAACTCGACACCGCGTGTTACAACAGTATCTCTTTGGACGTCACATCCAGCTTTCCTCCCAGCAACAACTGACCTCCTTTGGCGACAGTTAATACAGAAACGTGGAGATATTTATGTGGGCTGATGTTGAACGATGAAGCCTTGTACATCCCTTTTTAAGAAGCATTCTTAATCGAAAATGGCAGTGTTCCATTTTCCTGCTGTCTTAAACCATATGAAACTTCTTTGTTAGTTAGCTGAGTGCTCAGCACTCATAAGTAATTTTTTTATTTGTTGGACTTTTTCAGAAATTTTTCTGAAACTTTCATAGGGTAAGTAATTTTGAAAGTGGCTACGAGAAAACCGGGCAGTGGTAATGATTCAAAAACCCCGATTTGGCTCAAATGTGGCAAAAATGTTTGGTATATTGAGTTAGGAACTGGGTAATTTTTAAACGCCGAAATAAATCTTATTTCCTGGGAGATGTGGGATCCCCTAGAATACCTCCACTTTCTGCATTTTTTTAATAACCATTTAACTAAATTTGCTTTGCTCTTGTGACAAACAAGGAAGCCATCTAAATACACCAGGTTACGTTCTATATCTTCCAGACTTCAGGCACAATTAACTGATGAAAATTGTCAATTTTATTTCTTTCCCTAGCTACTTCCCCTTAATATAACGCCCATTATTTCCGCTGAGCATCAACTTCTGGTCATTATTTCTACATGAGTAGTGGAAACCATTTCTTAACTTCCAAAAACAGAAAAAAAAACTCCTAGGCAACTAGTCTCATTATTCGTGCATTATCACACTCTGGCAGGTTCCGCCTGGTTTTTTCATGGACACTCTCTGAACAAGTTAGTAGTATTCATAAATCACTGAATTATTCAAAAGCAAGACAGGGTAAAGTATTAATCTCAGTATCGTTTCTTTTAGAAGATCAGCGTAACATATATTTGTGGTTTATTACTTGATCCAGACGGCATTAGACAACCCAGCATCAGAGAGAGCCTAATTCTTAGTATTTCTTTCGCAAAACGCCAAAATATGAACTATTTTATGTTATCAGTTCAATATTGACCTCCTCAAAGGCAAGTGTGCTTGTAAAAGTAGTTTTGCGGCGTAGTATAAATATTATACACCAAAAACAAAATTATTTATCACCTGGGGGAAGAGGGGGATGGAGAATTTCGTATGTGTCACGATAACATTTACTTTTTACCCTCTTTGGCAGTTGCTGGGCTGTCAATTTCTATAGTGGTCAGAGGTACTGAAATATCAATTTAATGCATTTCCAAACCCCCAGTTCAGGTGACGCGATCAACAATAAAAATGACGAAAAGTGAATGTAATTTGAAAACAAAGTGATTACCAGTCCGAAAATTCTTGAGATCCAGAACTGTTCGTGGCAAGCGGCTGAAAAAGCGGCTATTTTGTTGATCAAGTGAAACAAATATGCAAAAAAAATTAACATGTACACACATATATTCACTCTTAACGAGCGCAACTGCAAATTACTTACACAGAATTAAAATCGAATGCAAAACGAGGAGAATTTGCAGATAGTTTTAGTATGCTTTGTGATGATAAAAACCGTCACAAGTTCCTAAAATTCGTTTTATAACTCTCAGAACATTAAGAAATGGGGAAAAATAGTCTTAATTAACCGCTCTATGCCACAGAAGGGATGTTAAAGCGTAGAGGAAGCTTAATTACTAATCAAGCAATCGCTACCTTTTTCTGCAAGTTAGGGATTTATTCTATAGCTGTATTGTACGTGGTGTCGATTAAGAGCTTGGTGTTAATATCTGTGGATAGATTCACTACGATTGTGTTTCCACTAACTTGAGGCCATTAAGATCACTGCCAGGGTTCGGAAAATTCTCCTTTTTTAAGCTGGCTTTTTCCTGTGTTATGTGCCATACCATACTTTAACCATTCTAAATAGCACTCGAACTCGAGGGGAGACGTACATTTTGTAGAAACTTAATGAGCACGTTACTTTTTAAAGTGTATCATTTCGTAAGTTTCATCTTATTCTATCTTGCACCGCTGGTTGTAATATTAGTTGTTCATTCTATTAGTTTTAAGCATCTTAAGAGGCGAGCTGTGTTTCAAATCAGCAGTAATGAAGGCAACACACATGCACGGAGATCCAAAGAAAACCAGAACATTTTGAAAATCTTTCGATCGGTGACTTCAGGATTTTTCATATGCTGGACGCCTCTTCATATTTATTTGGTTCTAAAATCGTCACATCCAACAATTTTTTCGGATGACAAATGTCTTTTATTTGCTGGTTTGTCATATTATATATTTCCATTGATCAGTAAAGCCTTCAACCCATTTATTCTGAGTTCTTTTAGTTCTAATTATCGTGCAACCGTTAATTTAAATACCTACTCGTTAAATGTTTCGCTATTTTTAAGTGTCGCATCAACAAAATTCATCCTACAGAACAAGTCACAGACATCAAAACTAAATTCTATAGGCATAAAAAACAAAGGAAACAAATCAAAGCCCGGTGGTTGACTTCGTTATATTTTAGTTATTTCAATCGGGACTTCAGGCCCAGCAGTTCTCGACTGAAGTTCACGACTCAAGTTTTATGTCACGTCCACACATCAACAAGGGTGAGCTTGGTGGGAATGGTTACAATTTATTTGTCAAGCATCAAAGGAAACCCCTTTTTTTAAATGTAAGTCTTATTTTACCAATATTTTTTAACATGGATTTTACACAGACTCAGGTCCAGAGTTACAGAAAACCTTTGCCTGAAAAGAGCAAATTTTAAAACAGAGTTGTTTCTATGCTATAAGTTACCTCTTTTGTTCTCAACACTTATGCAAATATAAGTTAACAGCACAAAAGAAATAATTTTCACATTGCAGTGTGAAGTCAAACGGTCTGATCCGGTCTGATTTGAGAACCGAAATGTCATAAAAACATGGCAAAATGAAAAGACTGTGTTAATAGCGAGGAAAACACGCTAGAAGCTTAAATTGAAAAGTCATTACTTTAAAATGTAATTAAAGTTTTGCTGAATTATGATCATGCTCTGAGAGAAACCAGAATTAAAAATGATTGTACGATTTAATTTGCCGAGGAATACGATGTACTTTTCCAAAATTTGGTATTACCTGCTTTTCTCAAGAAAAAGAGGGTGCATGGGGAGGAAGATATTTTTCATCTCAGCGATAGAAGCAGTAAGTGTATTTTCGTAAATAAAAATGAACTTATCCCAAAATACCTTGCATTAAAAAACTCATGATGTCAATTTTTTTCGGAAGCAGCAGGTGTATTTGCGTAACTAGAAATGAACTAATACCCAAAATACTTTGCATCGAAAAGCTCATGATTTTCATTTCAGTGTCAGATCCTCTGCAGAACGCGCAAAAATGTGAGAATGATACGATCAGCATAATTTAAATTGTTCAAAAGAACTAGAACATAGAAAAAAAAACCGCCTGTTAGAATAAATGAAGTTTTAATGTTCATCCTATTGGGCAAAAAACTGTTCCAATTAAAATTTTTACAGTGCTTTATTTAACTTACGTCCAAACCACACACGTTGTATTTATAAAGTAAATTAATCGAGGCCACAGTAAAACCAGTACTGTGAAAACAAGTTTACAACAGTGTTTTTGACTTGACCTATCTAATGATTACTGGATGAAACTCTCAGGAAAGAATAGAGAATTCCTTTATCTTTATTAACTGACAACTGTTTGTAATGAAAAATGTCCTTCTAAGTTTTTTTTTCTGGCGGTAGAAGAGCCGTGGCTCATAACTGATTATCATTTTGTCGGTTCTATGCGAGGTAAGTTATCTTGGTGTACATTCAGTGTGCTAAAATTCTGATGCTTGCTTGTACAAGTTTAGTTATTATCTATTGGTCCACAGTTTAGAACCTCGCAACACACACGAATAAGGATATTTAATAATGTCAATTTTAAGTTTGGGGGCAGGATTCCTTCGTGGCGAACCATTCAGAGAATTGGTGAACGGAAAAGAAAAAAACTAGCAAGAGGAGCGACCTGATTGCTGAGTGATCGCCATCAAAACGACAAGTAGCGCAGACTTATCTTGTTTTAGCTCGCCACCTCATTGCATATTGAGCCAAAAAAATGGCCAGAGTTTGCAAGCAAGGTAAATTATATTGAAACTCCTACTCGGGGCGATTAGGCTTCTATTATTTAATCGCATTTGCAAACATAATCAAATGGTCATGGAAAACAATCGTTCTCAGTTAACGAAGACTCACGTTCGATGCTCATGATTCAGTCTCTATTGTTAAATTACTCCGGCACAACTCCTGTTGCCAAAATATAGTATCTTTACAGCAAGCCACCAGGGATGCCATCCACGATATTTTGTTTTGATGCAGTCTTAGTAACAGAGTATATCGACCCGGTTTTAACTATGTTTTTCCCTGTTAGGGTAAAATGGTTGATAATTTGTTCATAGCAGAAATTCTTATTTCTGGGGCTTGAATGTTCAAACGATATTTTGGGGAAACCATCATTTGATGTTTATGAACTAGATCCAAAATTCTCGTAACCGAAAATGTCGTAACTAATCCAGCTTTTAGCAATACCGACCATGTGTCAATTAATTGGTAGGAGTAGACACTTTTTTTGCATATTCCGTGGTCATTAACAATCAATACAGGGGAATTTGCTTCCGTTCAATTTTGAAAAGTGAGAGAGTTCGTTAAAGGTAACTTTAAATTACTTGTTTTTTCAAAGATAGAAGATGTTGTTGCTTTTCAGGTCAGTCGGCGCAGTTATATAGGTAAAATTGTGTTCCTCTAATCGAACATACTTCTCGCTAATCAAATAAGATAATACTGGTCGAATTTTTTTTTAGCTTCATCTTGGCCAGATATTTGGATTATTTTTCGGAGTACCCTCAATAAGATTTTATCGTTATCGGTTCCAAGTTGAAGAAGTCCAAGTTGAGGATGGGAAGCTGAAGATTGTTTTGAAGTTTAAATACAATTTCAGATCTGTTAACCAAGACACTTTCGAGTCTTCGGCTTAACGCAGTTCTTATTGAAACGTTTTCAAAAATTGCACGAGGTTTTTATCAGGGGTGTGGCACATAAAAGAGTTATGTATCCCAAGATTCTTCGAGTAAACGAGATTTCATGCCCTTGCATACTAACCAAGATCTTCGACGAAAATTCATTTTGATATTCTTGTGTGGGCTGCAAATGAATAATTCGTTTTTACGCAAACCAATAATTATTTTTTGAAGATGATCTAAGGTGGTCTCTCGGTGTTTTGAAATTAGAAAAAAAAACGTCAAGCTTGAGCTCTATTTAGCGCGTAGGGGAGAGGAGCAATTTACAGAAAGCTTGTAAACAGCAAAAATGTGCAAACATCTGGCTCTTTATGAAGGGTCACAGCAGAACGTCAATATCATCAATCATGCATTTAAGTGACTGCTTTGATAATTTAGACACATTCGGCATCAGAAGTGGATGCTATGGGTAACTGCACGTACATTGGTTCTCAAAGTGCAAATCATGTAATACCTTCTGCAATTCTTAGTTAAATAAAAGGAAAGTCTTTGAAGGTAAAATAAACATCTTCTACTGCAAATTAAGTCAAGGAGAAGGGGCGAGATTGGTTTTAAAGTAAATTGTCTCCGAGGGATGAATGCATCAATATGACCAGTGATGTTAGTATTAATTTCATGACCTTCTAGTTTAAAAAAGTGTTGGAGAAATGACCCATTAATTTATGTCTTCCCCCTAGTTCAACTCGGCACTGCTGATTGAAAATGAAAGCAATGGATGGATGTCTCCTATGGCTGTTTCTTCAACTCATCTGGAACAAAGGTACAGTTTTTGTTATGTTTTTCAAATCATAATAGTCTAACGCGAAATATTTTTTTTAAGCGCACCCTTTCTTAGAGACAAGGCGCCAAAAAAAATCACATTTTGCTGACAAATAATAATAATAACTGTAAATGCATAGTGCTTGATGCCACGATTTTCTTTCGTTGATTTTCTCACAATTTCAACCATAATTCAACAACCCTCATTACATTTGGAAGACATCTCATGGCAACTGATGCTATTCCTTTTTTAATTTTTAGCTTTTCCTTTGCCAAGCCTATTAGTCATAGTGTTAAAGTAGGATTTTTCATCGATTTGTGCCAAACATTTATTTCATTTTAATTTTTCAAGCTGTTCAGAAGTCTTGTATCAGCTCTTTGCTATACCGAGTATACCTCGTGTTACCTCGAGCCAAGATTTTTAGACCTTTTCTTTTCTTGCCCACCTACCCCTTCCCTAACTCAACAAGAGTCAATTGATAACAAGTTGGGGTTAATGTTGGGTTAGGGGAGGGTAGGTGGGCTGTTGTCCAGATACTGATATTGATCCACTTTTTCTTTACAATATTTACACAACAATGGTTTTAAATTTCGTCCGTGAGGAGCTCGACAATATCAGTTTTGTTTGCTAAATTAAAAGCTCGAAAACTGCAACTTCCGTCGTGAAAATTTACATTATAAAACGTCTTTCTCTCTCTTGACAAATCCTGTTCACGAAGTCATTAACTGAAACAAAAACCATATAGTGCTCCTAACGTAAACCAGCTATAATTTTTTTGTTAACAACTTGACATCCTTGTCAACTGTATTATGATATCTAAAAAGGCAGTGGTCTTAAGACTTTCTGCAGTTCAAATCGCCCGTTTTTTAACACACTCAAAGTTTTTGTCAATGCATGATAATGTAAGGGCATACAATACTCTAACACCGGCCCCACGCAGGTAAGGTAGAAGCAGATGGTATCGTGAGCCGTAACAGTTGCCCGATTCAGCAAAAATCAAGACATATATGGACTTTAGTGGTCTATTTAAACTCGTTCAATATTCGTAAAAAGTATGGTGACTCACTAATGCCACATCATTCATTATTTAGACAGAAACAGATATGAAGCTCAAAAATTCCTTAAATAATAATAACTCTTGTTCATAGTTTTGACGGCTACCCTCCCGTCAACGAAAGAGACTGAGCCGTCAGAGTCGTTTCCGACGTATTCTCCTCAGTGTGTCACTTGGTATAGACGTCCATTTGCACCAGCCTCCTGTTATATATCCTTTGATGCGGAGAAAAAAGGCAATTTCGAAGATAAAACTACCATGTCACCATCTGACGAACCATTCACGATTAGAACACCAGCTACAGCACCAACGCAGTTTACCAGAGCTGATTCCACAGCTACACCCATAACCACACCTCCAAGCACACCTTCAAGCACACCTTCAAGCACACCTTTAAACACACCCTTTACCACACCTATAACCACACCCAAAACCTCACCAACAGGTTCACCCATCATTTGTGTTGGTTATAAGCAGTGGAAAATCATCGTTCCGGAAGGAAACTATGTCGAGATGACTATCAAGAAAGTGAATCTTCGACCATGGGCGTGTTTGTTCGAGACATACATTATGGTCAGAGACGGGCAGTCTTTGTCAGACAATGTCCTCAGGATTCTTTGTGAAGCAAGCACTTCACCTCACCGCATAGCGTCTAGTGGCAACAAAATGATTGTGGAGAGATACGGAATATTGGGAGCTAGTGAAGGTTCGGGGTTTGAAGCCAGCTTTAAGGCAAAACCTTTAAAAACTGGAGGTTAGTGTATGTTTGGTTTATTTAGAGTTTCATTGTCTCTTGTACAATTTGGCTAAACGACAGTGAACCTTGGGATAAAAGCTTTCAAAGGCGGCGTCAATTGATTATTTCATCTGTCTTTTAACAGATCCTCCTAGCTTTGGGGTGGCTGAGGAAACGGTGACTTTGCTAGAGCATTGTTCTCAAAGCTTGCTCTGCCAAGCGGGCGGCGCACCTGCTCCTAGAATCACGTGGTCGAAAAATGGAGAAGTTTTACAAAATAGCACAAGTGTAACTTATACACCGAGATGGCATTCGAAATCAGGAAATTACTCCTGCAGAGCAAGTAATTTTAACGGCTCGGATACGAAAACTCTTTTAGTTCACACCGAGAGTGAGTATATTTTGTTGTTATTTAACACACAATGTAAGGTAAAGATGCTAATTGTAAGCTAAACAAAATAAAATTTGTCAATACATAA